GGCACTACCATTCACCAAGTCTCCCACAACTTAAACAGAAAGACGATTCTAAAAGTTTTTTCCTCCATCAGCCCCATACCAAACAATATCCTCTCTTTACACAATCTATTGCTTGTTATCCATAGCATGGCTGGCTTCATTCAGCAACTCATAATTTCTCCCTGTTCTTACTCTAAATCAGTCTCCTTGTTTCTTAGCTCACAGATTCCCCATGTGGCAGCCCGAGTAGATTTTCTAAAACACAAATATGATCCCATTACCTTCTAATTAGAACAATTCAGTGGCCATTATCTGATGCCTGACAATATCTCCGGTCTTGTCTCTCACCTTCTTTCCCCAACAATACCACCAGATCATTCAGTTATCTAGAATATACTGTGTTCCTTTAAACCTTTTTTTAAATCAATGACTTCTTCTGATTGGGTTGCCTTTGTTTCAGCTAGGATTCCGCACTACAATTAGCAGAAAACACTCCAGTTCACTAAAACAAAGTGTCAGTTTTAATGGAAACTAGGTAGTTTCACAGTTGATTAAGATGAAGAACCAGATCTGAAGCCAAAGCTGCCAAGACCTGAAGGCAAAGCTCCTGTTCTGTTGGTTATCTCCCTCAAATAACTAATGGCACATTCTTGCATCACTGTTTACAGCAAGGACATTGAGCTAGGGACACTAGACAAGGCTCCTGGCATGCTCCTTCACCTCCCATCACCTCCCAGGAAATAGACTCCATGAATTGCTTCTTTCTACTGAACTTCAGCAAAGGAATATCTATCAAAGCTGTGACGTAGCAACAAGGGAAGTGAGGAAAAGAAGTACTAGCTTTCATTTTAAGGATGTGAAATCGGGGGGGGGGGGGGGGGGGGACGGAGATGTAGAAGGATGAATAGATACAAACTTTGTAAGCCTAGTTCCTACTTTACCCATAAAGAAGTATTCTAGAAATCATGTTATCAGATAAACATTCCTCAACTGGTTCCATTTGTGAAGGCTTCTTTATTATACCATTTGTCTTGGCCTTAGACTTGTAGTCCTCCAGCCCTAGCCTCTAAAGTGCTGGGATTATAGGCATGTACTACCACACCCAACTCTTTTATGTCCTGTGCTTACTTTCAAAACAGTATTTACACTACTCTTATGTGATTATTTTGTAAACTTCCACAGTTTATTTGTCAAGAGGCATCATGAGTAGTGAAAAGGACAGATTTTTAGTTTTAGTCAGACAAAACTAAGCATGAATGTATGTTGCAGTACAGCTGAGAATTATGTTTATCAATTTCTTATCAGAGCACCTGGTCATGGAACCAAAAACTTTTTTATCTCCATAGCTCTGGGTTTCTTACTCTACCTAGGAGGTAGAAAAAAATTTGTTAAATGTCACTTTTATCCATGAGAAAAAGTCAAAGAATCTCCAGAATCGTAACTTTTCTTGTACAAATCAAAGGACAGCTCAAGGCAACCAAGCAAACTGAATTCCATGTGAGTATAAACTCTTCAAAGAGAAATGGGACACGCAGGTGGTTTCACAATTGGTACCGCACAAAGAGGTCATGTACTGTCAGAAATACCAGAAAGAAGAATTCGCTTAAAATGTTAACAAATTCTTAGAGACCAAACAGTCAGGAACCTGGCATACGTCCAAGATTAGAAGGAGAACCAGAAAAGTCCTACCTGAGATTGACCTTAGTTTTGCTTCTGGGAAATGGAGGGCTAGGGATACAAGGGAAGGGACTCCATAGACCAAAGGTGGACAGTCCCAATAGGGAATCCTAGCTTCTTTCCCCCATCATCCTAGTACTAATGAACAAAAGACCCCTGCCTCGTATTGAAAAGAAACATAAGGATGTGGAAAAAGGTCTCTTGTAACAGGTGTATGCCGAACTGCTGAAAACGAGGAGGGAGCAAAACTACTGAGGAGAACCATCTCACTCTCTAACATAGCAACAACAGCACATCTTGAAGTGGCCTGGAACCATGAAGCTGTTGACAATAACTACAAACCAGTTTCACTCCCAAATGAGAGCTACCATAATTCCTGCCAAAATATAAGAGTCAGAGAAGGATGTATTACCTGCAGCAGCTTAAGAGAGTAGTAGCGCTATCTCCACAAACAATGCTCTCTCTAAACTGATGTATGGGTATTTTCTTTGGGGAATACATACAGGAAAGCACTCAAAGGGAAGGCACATTTCTGAGCATGCTCAGTTTAAGACCAAGAAGGAAAGATGGAAGTCAAGAAGTCAGAGCCAACAACTTGGGTAAAATGAAGAAAACAAAGGATTCAAAGACAAGGACATCTTTAAAACTTCCAAACAACCTGGTCCAAATGGTACCATGGCAAAGAGAAAAGAACGTGGGAGAGGAGGGAGCAAGTGAGTTAGTTCAGTTCTGGCATGCATCATGTTTATGAGGAAACAGCCAAATATACAGGGTGAAATCACTGCAAAAATTGGAAATACAGGTTTACAGTTCAGTTCTATTTCAACCTATTAAATGTTTTAAAGGTAGATAGGCCACATCATAAAAAATAAATGGTAAATAATAAAGGGTATTCCTTTTGAAAGTTGCTGAGAAACTCAGCCTATCACAGTATTTCAAATTTTGAATTTTATCAGTCAGAGATTTAAGCAATCAGCTTACCTACCTACCCCAACCCCAGAGTTTGTCCTTCAGCTACACAGAGGCTAAATCCTTTTTCACAATTTGCACTGGAGAAGTTTTACTGAGACACATTTGACAAGACATCTTCCTCTGGATTGAATTTGGCAACAGTTAGCACATGTCACAAAGAAGTTAGAGGTTGAAAAAAGAATCAAGCTATCAACATTCTGGGAGCTTCAGAAGTTATAGCTCCAGGTTTACAAACAGAATCCTGACAATTTCCTATCAGGAAAGTATGATGCTAAAAGTAAATGTAGAGCAACACAGTAAAAAAAAATATCATATAGGACTTGAAACAACTATTCTAAGGTCAGGGTAGTAGGAAGACTTAGCTACTAAAACTATTCTGGAAGAAATGTGGTTTGCCTTTATATTCAGATTAAGGGTGACAAAATATGGAGAGAAAGAAACAAGGTAAAATTTTTTTTTAAAGGATAGAAGTGAAACAGGAATTCTTTTCAATTACAAAAACTACACATTACATTTAGAGAGACCTGAGACAATGCGAGACTTCCTTTCCCAAAAGTAGATAGCCCCTATTTCCTTCTAAATCAGGCTTTTCACCAAGAGAAAGAAGTATCCTACAACTAGGGTGACAATTCAAAGTTCTTATGAATGCATTTCGAACTAGGACCAATGTTGAATCTGGTAGGATGGCAGAACTACTGATATCATCCAGCTAACTAGAATGTTAGTATAGTAAACTGATTACAAAGCTGGTCATGACTGCTCACCCTCCTTGTATCCCTACCTTTTACAACACTTCATAGTTACTCTTACCAAGAGGTAAACTCTTATTTCCTCACCTCTTGAGAGTGTACCATGTGATGAACTTTGGCTAATAAAGCACAGCAGGAGCATTCTTGAGTGCAGTTCTGAGACTAGGCCTAAAGATTACATTGAGCTCCTCTGGTTTCTCTTTAGCTTCAAATTGAAATATATGCCTACCTAGTTGACCAAATGCCTACTTTCTGACCTACCTAGCCAATCTGAAGCTAGGTAAGATGAAAGCCATATGGCTACATTCACCCCAATTTCTTCTAAGATAATGAGCAAAATAAATGGTTGTTTCAACCATATTTTTGAAGGGCAGTTATATAGCAAGCGTTAACAACTACCACATACTCAAGGGTGCCGACTACCGCAGGAATGTAGCAATGTCGTTTTCTACTGGAGTGACTCACCCTATCTGCACTGAGCAGGGTTAAACCATAGCTCTGAAGATGGGTTTCTTTCTTTTTTCTTTTTCTTTTTTAAAGTTTATTTCCAAGAGCTCAAGGGTACTCTATCTAAAATGAACAATTGGCTATCTTCATGCTTTCTGTAGGAATTTAAAAATCTGCTAATCTCACATCCAACAGGAATATCATCCTGCAGTTATAGAACTTTATGGCTTGCTTATATTCTTTACATGCATCAGTCTTAAACTACAGAACAGAACAGAACAGCAGAGCAGAGCACTTGACAAGTGAAGAAATCGAATGGAAGGACAGGTTAAATGGCACCCACCAGTACTGAATGTCAGAATTATGTAATTCTTTTTAATTTTTGTTGGTTGTGGTTCTTGAACTCTGGGTGTGGGTGCTGTCCCTCAGCTCTTCAGCTCAAGGCTAGTGCTCTGTCACTGGAGCCACAGCACCACTTCTGGTTTTCTGGTGGCTAACTGAAGATAAGTCTCATGGATGTTCCTGCTCTGGCTGGCTTTGAACCATGATCCTCAGATCTCAGTCTCCTGACTAGCTAGGATTACAGGTGTGAGCCACTGGCACCCGGCTGAACTACATAATTCTTTTTTTTTTTTTGGGTCCGGTCGTGGGGCCTGAACTCTGGGCCTGGGCGCTGTCCCTCAGCTCTTCAGCTCAAGGTTAGCACTCTACCACTTGAGCCACAGCGCCACTTCCGGCTTTTTTCTTTTTTGATTATGTGGTGCTGAGGAATTGAACCCAGGGCCTCAGGCATGCAAGGCAAGCACTCTACCACTGAGCCACCTTCCCAGCCCCTACATAATTCTTAAGAGTGATCCCTAAACGTTTAGTACTTCCTCTCATTAGAGCTCATGTGCTAAAATCCTGTGGCAGTATTGGTAAATGATTTTTTTTAAGGAATTCAATTAGGTTAAAGAGGCCTTCCCCCCCCCCCTCCCTTATAAAAGTAGGGATGACTTAGCTCAAGGGTTGTTCTGAGAGGGAAATAAGTAATGTATATAAGACACATAATTCAAGCCTTGGATGTTGGGTCCCTGACCCCATTCACCACAACAGCATTTTCTCCCAGGTTTTGTAGAGACCTCTACTCTGAATACAGCTCTGAATATACCACTTGAAATAATAATCTTCCAGAGAGACAGTATAGGAAATTTTATTTCTATGGTAGAAGCATTTATTGTAGTAATAGAAAAATAACACTATTTCAAAATCAAGGGTAAGTTAGCAGAAGTTTCCTTTACATACTCATACTTGAATATCACCATGATTTCAAACCATTCTTAAATTAACAAGGAACAAACGCAGAATCAAGATAGTATGACAAGAGAAATATTAAAGCTACTTATCAGCCCTGGAAATCAGAAAACACAAAGTGAACTCGTGCAGCCATTTCAACTTCAGTGTGCATCAGAATCACTGCACCTGGAGAGAAACTGCCCTCAGCAACCTAAGGGCAAACCACCAGGCTGAGCCAGCCCTTGGCTTCAGAATTCTCAAGGGACCGACGTCACAAACTTTGTTCCTCAGGGAGGTACAAAGACAAATATACACTGCAATGCCAAAGATCAACCATTTACTCATGGTGTGACTTCTCTGAGCTTCAAATTCAGGAATAACACTATTCTTAAGAATTGTTGTACAGGATAGAGTAAATACTGTGTGACAAGTGCTTCCATAACAGAGCTACTACCAGTGCTTCATTCTCACCCACCTCCCACTCCCAAAGAGCTATTCTTTATTTTAAAAGTCAACCAACCGCTCAGTGGGTTGGAGCTCACTGACTACTGGTATCATTCTTACTGGTACATTGTCTACTTCCCTCTGTCATTCTTTTACAGGAAATTCAATATATGACTGAAATGATACCTTTTATATGAAAACTAAGACGACAGGCTCAAAGAAGAAAGGGAACTAAAGCTTCCAAATTGTGTGCTGCTTGTAAAGCACCGACAGATGAACTTCGCTTCAAAGTGGCCCGCTTCAGGCAATCTCTATGTTCCCTGTGCTATTTTCTGAATCTCAGCCTACTTATAGATGGAAACACGGGAATAAAATAGCTATAATCCTCATCAGTTCCTATATTTAACAGACTACACAGTTATGTTTCATAGTTAAAAGTTTTTTGGCCATTTAAGTATCTACCCACATAAATATCTGCGATTTCAATATTCTAAAACTATAAAACATAGCTATAGAGGTGCACAGTTAGGCTAGGATAGGGTTCCTCAAACTCAGCACTAATGACATTTTGGTTGTGCAATTCTTCACTATGTGACCCACATATTACACATTACATGTTTAGTAGCATCGGTGGCCTCTACGTCCTAGATGACAGTTACAAGCCACCCCCCCTCAACCAAAATGCCCTCCAGACATTGCAAACGTCTTTTGGCATGGAGAACCACTAGACTAGAAACTTACATAGACATAATTGTAAATTCTGGGTGTACAGATAGCACAAGACTATGTGTAATATTACTAATGGAAAGAGTTTAGCACAGCAATATTCTGCTATTCTGTTTCTGCTTGGGCACAGGGTGCTTCTATAATCTACTACTTAAGCATACAATTACCCACACAAAACTATCTTTTCCCTACTGAAAACACTGACGGTAAGACAGGGAGGAAAAAATAAAAACCAGATAATCCAACAACCACTCTATGTCACCTGATAGGAGAAACACCTACAGTTTATAAACATTTGTTAAATGAAAACCTAAAAAAAAAATCACTGCAAGTGTCCTTCCTTCTGAATTCGAAGTCTCTCTTTCTCCACTTGTAAGCGTTCCTTTTCAATCTGCAGCTTCTCCGATTCAAACTTCAAAAACTGCAGCCGATCCTTTTCCAGCTGCAGACGCTCTCGCTCAAGTTTCAACTTCTCGGTTTCTATGTCCTGTGGCTGAAGTATGGACTTTTCGCCTTGGCCAAGTTCACTTTCCAGAGATGGTTTCTCGGAACTGACGATCTGTAGCCGGAGCTTCTCCCTCTCGATCTGCAGCCGCTCCTTCTCCAGTTGAAGGCGCTCGTGCTCCAGGTCTAAATGCCGCAGCCGCTCTTTCTCTATTTGCAGGCGTTCCTTTTCTACCTGCAGTCTTTCGGCCTCAATATCCAGTCGGCGTTTTTCCACCTCTAGTTTCTGTTTCTCTATGTTGACCAACACATGGGGCTCATCATAAGCAGATCTGGATGGTGTTGAATTAAGGGTGAAAAATTCATCAATGTGGGGGAAATCGGGAAGCTCCGTTTCCCTCCTGGAATCTGGTATGACAGATGATAACATTTCTTCCTCCTCTTCAATCTCAAACTATGAGAAAAGGGGAAAGTGGCTTTTAGTATTTACTCATACTTCATGGTTTCAATTTGCACAACTATCTCTCAAAGGCTTTCAGTAATGTTTCAGTACACAAAACCACTTAGTTTGAATTGTCAAAAACATTTACATGAACTACTTGATGTCAATAATACATAACAATTGATGTATTTAAGCAGAAAAGAAAACTGAATGATCTTGTCATATGCTACATTTAAGTAAGCATAAAAATCTGCAAACATTGCTGGGTGCCGGTGGCTCATGTCTACAATTGTAGTTCCTGAGGAGGCTGAGATCTGAGAATCACGGTTTGAAGCCAGCCCAGGCAGGAAAGTCTGTGAGACTCTTTTTATCTCCAACTAATCACAGAAAAAGTTGGTGCTGTGGCTTAAGTGGTAAAGTGCTAGCCTTCAGCAAAAAGAGGAGCCTGGAGACAGTGCCCAGGCCCAAAGTTCAAGCCTCAAGATTAGCAAAAAACAAAAACAAAAAGTGTGCAAACATGTTAAATATGTCTGGACTATAAGCTGCCACATCAGAGTTGCAAATAAATTGTCACAGGCTAGTACTTACCTCAGGACTTTGGGGATCCCTTTCTTCCTCTTCCACTTTGACCTCTGTTAAAGATCCACCTGCATCTCTGAAATCTGCCACATTCTGCCAGTCAAAGTTGGCATCATTTCGGAAGGCAATCTTCTCATCGATCTCTTCAGTGAGAGAGTCGTCTAAGTCAGACGTGGGAAGGGGAAACCCTGAACCCACCAATTTAATGTTTGCCTTCATCCTCTTCCTCTTCATAAGTGCTCTCCAGTCCAGGTACCGCCTCTTCACTTCGGTCCCGGTCCTCTGCTCACCTTCTCCCACGGCGTTCACGCACTGTGCGATCTCCTCCCAGGCCATGCGCTTCATCACGTTTATCGTTGTGTTGAGCTGCTTGGAAAAAATGACTTCTTTCCTTTTGGTAATTTCTTTCAAAAGGGTCTGCGTTTCTTGAACACTAAAATTGCTTTTCCTCTTTCTCTTTAACTGCTTCATATTTTTATAATGTCAATGCAATATAGCAAGAAAAGATGAACAGAGAACTTGAAGAGTGCTGCAAAGCACCCAAACCACGCACAAGCCTGCTGGCCCGGCTCTGGTCACTGTTGTCCACGCATCCGGTAGCGGAGGCAGGCTGGATAATTCCTAAATGGAAAAAGTAAAGTAGGATCATTCAATCAACCTGCAACTTCTGTAGCATACTTTAACCCAATAAGTCTTATACTTTTTACAAGGAAAAATCCCTCTACATATGGCTCAAATTTGGTATCTCCATCTGCCAGCACCTTCAAAGTCCAAACTGCCATTTTTTTTCTTTTCCCAGGGGACACTGCAAAGGTTCTTCATTGACACATTCCATTGCTCCCATACTGGCCTTCATGGGTCACCTGTCCTGATAAACTCTTGTACTTGTCTATATTGTTCTATCTAGAAAACAACCTGATACCTTCTCAGCCCACTTGATGCCTACTCATCTTTCAATCCAAAGAATAACCACATTCTCAGCAAAGCTTTTCCTGACATGCCAAGTTCCTCTAGCATAGTCTATTGACTTTTCCTAAACTTTATCCATTGCTAGCATAGATTAGGGTATGGCTCTCCAACAGATGTTTCATCATGTAACCAAGGGTGTTTGGCTCACTATCTGCTGCCCAGAGCCCAGCACAGCTTCTGACACATGCCGAACATACCATAAGTATGTATTGAATAGATGAGTCAATTTACCAAAATGACAATTAGAGCTATTGAAACAAAAAGTTAGCCTATGTAGAATACTATAAGAACCTGCAGGACTGATATATAAAATTAAAACACTGAAACTAGCTTGAGACAATATAGAAATGGCAATTGCTTATATTTTACTACTTCACAACTCATTTTTATATTAAACCAATATAGAATGCTTAAGTATAGAGCAAAAGTTTTCTGATGACAAAAATATTACAAAGATACAATTTAACATGGCAAGGATTTTCCCCCAGCCATCTAGCACCCAGTGTACACTTCCTAGTTTACTACTGCGGTCCTTCTCCTCAATAGACACCACATCCGTTCCTTTACAGTAGATGATCTCATTTTCTGCCCCTACGAGAAAATCAAATTACTGACTTATGACTCAATATTTATTCCAACCTTCCTAATGTATCTTCATACAATGCAATGGCTAGATAATAGGAAGCCATTTCCCAGTTCCAAGGCAATGAAGATTCTGGATGTGGATGATATTCCACCAATCAGATGCACTTGGGTAAGACTTGAAATTGAGGCTGGCATGTAAAGCATCTGTTTCACCACCTCGAACAAAAGCTCCTAATATGAAACAAAACCAATTAATTAATGCTTTTAATTATTTGCTTTTCTTTAGCAGTAATTAATAATGTTCTGGGCTACCTTCATTGCAGAATTAAAGACTGTGATATTAACCAGTCACTATAAATGCTTGTCTCCACATAGAAACAAAGTTTAAAAAAGAAAACCCCTATGTCAAAATTTTAACATAAATCCTGAGTGAGAATGCAAAACAGAATGTTTCCCACTTTGGGGGAATGTTCATGTTATAGGGTCATCAAAGAGGACGTGTGAAACTTGTCCAAAGGTAAACATGTCAGAAAATCATGGGGTAGGACCTAGCAATATATGTCTCAAGAAACCCTAAGTGACTACATTGTATGCTAAAGTCTGAGAATCTCCGTGCTAAACGCACATCAATAAAACAGATGCACCTGGTCTCTCTTGCCTGCCTTGATTTCAAGTCTTCCACAGTGCATCTAATTGGTAGATTATGAATCACACCTCAAATGTTCATTGTGATGAAACCGGGAAATGTTTTTCTACTATCTAGCCTTTACATTATGAAAGAAGAATAAATGTTAATTCTCAAACAAGAATTTAATTTTCTCCTGAAAGCAGAAAATGAGATCCTCTGCTGAAAAAGTCCCAGTGGCTTGCATAGTTTAACACAAGGCATTTTATCAATACAAACTCAATGGCAAGAAAATTGGGACAAAGGCTAGAAAATCTCTTTTAGTTAGAAAAGAGATGTTAGAAGTATATAGTAGGAAACAAGAGGTCATAAAGAGTAAGTTATTTATACATAAACCATGTTTTCTGACTTCAAATGCATTCAATGATTGCTTCCATGGGCTGGCCTTTCTCCCTTACAAAATGACAGTGTGAAATGAGACTGATAAAATCTCAGCCAGGGCTGTCACTGATCAACTTTTCCAGCAACAAGAATAATAATACCAAGTTCCAAATCCTGTCATTTGTTACCCACCACAGAACTAAATTAGATATACCAGGCTATTTATAACAGGAAATTGAGAGAGTAATTTGTACAAATCACAACTGTTTGAGTGACAGGCCATATATACAAGTTCTGTTATGTCATATCTACTTCAACCGTGTTAGCAGCTTCTAACAGCTAAATCTTAGAAATGCTGCTCAGGTAACTTCTCAGATATTATTTAGCTGATTTTCAAAAGGAGCAGATAGACTCTTATCTAGGTGGAAGGTTCAGAAGAAATTCCATACAAAGGCAGAAATCTCCTTAGAACTCCAACCAATATTCCCCATCACATATTAAGGAAAATCTTAAAATAAGAGACCAGACCTAAAGAATCCCTAAAAAGGAAAAAATATATGGATATTTCATAAGTGATCTTAATCTTGTTTGACTTGCAAATAGGAGCAAAACAACTTTGGTTATTTATTATAAATGCTGTATTAAAGAAAAATAAAACTTAGCTGAGTGTTGGTGACTCTACTTGTAATCCTAGCTACTCTCAAGGCTGAGATCTGAGAATCATGTTTCGAAGCCAACCCAGGCAGAAAAGTCCATCAGACTCTTATCTCTAATTAACTACTCAGAAAAAGCTGGAAGTGGCACTGTGGCTCAAGTAGTAAAGCACTAGCCTTGAGCAAAAGCAGCTCAGGGACAGTGCCCAGGCCCTGAGTTCAAGCCCCAGGACAAGCCCAAAAAATAAGTAAAAGAAGAAAAAAAGAAAAATAAGGCCAATCATCCAGAAGTAATAAATTTATAATTATATAACTAGGTACTTTCTGTAGGATAGACCAAATAAAATCATCACATAACTATAACCAATGAAATAATTTCTTTGCTTTAATTACATAATCATCCCCATAAAGCCTTCTCCTTGTATTCACTCTGCAGAGTCCCTGAAATACTTCTGGTTTGAAGTAGCCTGATTCATGAATGGCTCAAATAAACTCTTTAAAATGTTATTGTGCCAGTATATCTTATAGCACTCATTTCTTCTCAAACACTACTAATTTCTGCCAAAATAAAATTTTTATTAGTGTAAAAATATTTCTCAGGCATTTCAGCCAATGCAAAATTTCAGCAGGTAAGCAAGGCTAAATTTAATGAGAAGATATACAAAAAGCACTTCGTATTATTGCTTGAATTCTCTCTTTTAGAGTCAAAAGTGGATGTTAGCTCTTTATTTCAAAACTGTAATAACAGCATTTTTATTACTATTTCTGTAACCTTTTTATTCCTTTGTTTTGTCTTTTTTAGCTCCCAGTCATCTTTGCTCTACTAACTTCGCATAAAAATACGCCCATCACCATGTTTTCTTATTTCTACTCATTCATGTGGAATAACCATCTCCTGAGAGGCCATTTGCTACTAAAATAGAGGTCAGAGGGAAATAAAAATTTTAAACATAGAAAATGAAGGTTGAAATAATCCTTGTCAATCTCACAAACACACACAAAAAGAATTGCAAGCAAAATATTTCTAAAGCAGACCTTCACATTTTCTCAAAAGACCTATCATGACACATTGAAAACCACTGTATTGGAATGTATAGTCTCTGGCAGCAAGCTCGGCAGTATCCTAGGGATTTGAATATAAATCTTTTTCAGTAGAATATGAGAAAATTATTTATAAATTAAAACACCATTAAAAGAGGCAGCGGGTAAGAGGGCTAGGCATGGTAATACATAAATACCTGTAATCCTACTTACTTAAAAATGGGAGAATCATAGTTTTAGGTCAGACTAGGCAAAAATTAAGACATCTCCCTCCCCAACCCCCCATATCTCAACAAACATGCTTATTGTAATCCCAGCTATGAGGAAGGAATAGATAGATAGAGGATCATAGTCTGAGGTTTCTCCTAGGCAAAAATGTGATATCCTACCTAAAAAAAAATAACTAGATCAAAAAGGGATGAAGCTGTGGCTCAACTGGTAGAGCATCTGCCCCTAACAAGTGTGAGGCCCTAACTCCAGAACTTCAAGCAGCCTAGAGAATGGGAGATCTTCACCAGCTATACATCTGACAAGGGTCTAATATCCAGAATATACAAGGAGCTCAAGAAACTCAAAAATGATCAATAACTCAATAAATGGGCAAAGGAGCTAGAGACTTCTCAGGAGCAGAAGCAGCAGCAAGAATGACCAATAAATACATGAGGAAATGCTCCATATCCTTGACCATAAAGGAAATACCAATCAAAACAATATTGATATTCCATCCCACTAAGATTGGCCATCATCAAGAACATAAACAACCACCAATGCTGGCAGGGATGTAGGGAGTTGGAGGAAGGGGGAAGAAATATTATTACACTGTTGGTGGGAATGTTTCGGAAGGCAGTTTAGAGATTCATCAAAACACTAAACCCTGAACTATCCTGTGATCCACCCTTTTGTCTTAGCAAGGCCTACTCATCCTTCAGCAGTTGGTCTAAACGTCTCTTTACTATTCCCGTCATCTGAGTGTAGAGTCCTTCACTGTCAGGCTGGCTTAGAATCACTTACTTTACATTAGGAACATAAGACATTCAAGATGAGTCTATTAGTCATGCTATTAAGTAATTTATAATGTATTTAAACACAGATGCATAAAGAAATGCAAATGAAAAAAAATGTAATAGAGTCTATAAGCTGAAGGAAATACAAACTAGATTTGTATGCCAATTCTTAACTAAATTAACTTTTTGTTCTTGTTTACTCATCTATAAATGAGAATGAGAAATAGGATAACACTCATGTTTAAGGATTAAGAGATAATCCGATTAATCTTATAATAACTAAGGTACATTAAGCTCACAATGAATGTCAGCTATTATCTTTACCTCTTAAGTACAGTGAGGGTAGCAGCAACTATTTCTTTACTAGATGTATAATGCTACCAGTAAGAGGTACAATAATGAAGTACTAACAAAATATCTTGACTGCCCAGAAGGGAAAATCTTTGATGGGATTAGGAGAGCTTTTGAGAAGAAATTATCATTTGAATTGGTCTTATATAACAAATACACTAATAAGGAATAGAAATAAAATGAACAATTATCAGGAAGAAGTAGAAAAACAACTCAAGATCAACTATCAGCAAATCCTCAATGATGTCTTAGTAAGTTCCCATATCTTGGTAAGAAAATTACTAAGAGGAACAAATAAAACTGTGAAAGTTTACATAATTTTTGAAATCCAAGCAGTTTACCTTATCTATGGATGCACTTAGTGTACTAATATGTAGCAAAATGAAACTGTAGAATAAAATGATTGGTCAAGAAAACCCTAATTTATGAAGGAATCTCCATTCGATTTTGCTACTCTTAAAACCTGAGATCAATTTAATAATTGGATTGTGATCAATTTTTACATGCCAGAAATAGCAGTTCTTTTTATTCTACCCCTTATTCAATGTTTTTAAAACTTGACATTGATTGTAGCTCTTTGCCTGCCCCCCACCCCCACCCCCACCCCATGGTTCCTAACTCTATACTTCTAGTTTTCAAAGCCAGGTCCCTTTGTCCATGACTGATGTGTGCTGAGTGAAAGAACTCTTGCTGGCAAAAATGCATTGGGGAACATTTGTCTCTGGCCTCAATGAAATTGATATTGGAATACATCTTGGATTTCCTGTCAGTCTTGGCTTGACTGTATGAAAATCTTTGCCTAAAACTTTAACATTTTTCTAAGGGCAAGAAAATTCCAACATCGTTGTTGGTAGCTCTGCTTAACTCTTAAGAGCTATTTTTCCAGGAATGTTTGTCTTTCTGCCTCCCTTTTATAGTTTGGTATCGACGTGACAGAAGCTTGAGGTTCTTTTGCTATCGTTCTCCAATAATTTCAAGTTTTCTAAGCCATTGCTAGGTATGGGCCACATTCTTGATGCCGAGGACATAACACCCCACAAAACGTACAACGATAACCTTTTAGATGCTCTTCCCTCCCCCTTTAAAATGCACTGGATGCCATACCAAGGGAATTCCATAGTTGCAACCTCAGGAAACTTACAGGCCATCCACGTCCAACCACGGAGAAGAGGAACCCTTTCCCTGACTTTAGGTTCCCCACAGAATAGGAACGAAAAGTTCACTTACGTAAGTCCTGTCACGGTGACGTCAAGGCCCATTATACTCTTAACAGGGCGACGTAAAACAACAACAAGGAGGAGCAGCTGCGGATGCAAGTCCTGGCATCCTAGCTAGCGTGTGTCCTGGGATGGAAAGGCCGCGGGAGGGCCAGCCCGTGTAACTGGGGATAGGGGGGAAGCAGGGAAAGTGGGAAGAGAAGAGGGAAGGCGCCCAGCAGTCAGGCAGCGTCACCCGTTCCCTGGCCCCGGCTCCGTCTCTGGACAGGGGCTCTTCCCTCCCTGCAGCGGAGGACGACGGTGGTTTTCCGGGGTGAGGGGGGGGTGGTTGGGTAAACGTGTAAAAGTTTGGTCGGCGGTGGCCCCTGGGAGGTCCCCGGCTCCCTCTTTTCCGGGCTGCACCCCGCCCCTGGGGAGCGCCCCGGGAGACCCCGTCCCCGGCGGCGGCGGCGGCGGCGGGAGGACCGCACCTGCCGCCCCGGCCGCCGTGGGGGTCGCGGCCCCGCACGCACGGGCGTCCTCCCTCGGAATGTTCCGTGGCTGCGCCCACAAACTTCCCTCAGGCTGCTCCGGCGGCCCGGGCCCCCCCTCGGCCGCCCGGGTGGGCGACACCTCGGCCGCGCGGGCCTCCCGCGACGCCGCCGCCGCCGCCGCCCCGCAGCTGCCGGGCGACCCCCGGCCACGGCCTCCCCCCCCCCCCCACCGCCGCCGGGACCCTCCCTGCGGTGCGCGCACCCTCGGGCCGCCGAGGCCACTGCGGGCCGCCAGGCCTGCGCCAACCCCCAGACCACTCACCTGCGACCCCCGCGGCACCACCGCAAGATCGCCCCTAAGGGTGACAGTTTAAAAAAAAAAAGATGCTTCATTGATTCCCCGCCCACCAACTTCTCCCTGCTCCTACTGGCTAGGACGGATGCCGCTCATAGGACACGGCGTCATCTATTGGTCCGGAAGGTTTTGCCATTCTAGGTGAGAGCCCGCCCCAGGCCAGGCCTCACAATGGGAATCAAGTCCCAAACCGGTTCCGGGTTAATGCCCTGGACACCGCCCCTCCCCCACCCTTGTGATTCGCCCGCTGCCGTCCCGAGCTCAATCTTTGGCGAGCGGATCTGTCAATCCAGACGCCTCTAAGAAACGATTGGTCTCTAGCGATCTGCAGGCCGCGCTGTTCCTCCTGATTGGGGGCATTGGTCGCTCCATCTCCAAACTCTACTCCTGCCCTAGATGTCCCCCCCCCCCCTTCCCCGACCTGTTAGAGGCTACAAAGGCTTCGAGAGACTTTTGTGCTTCCAGCCCGAGTGCCAAGCCAGCATTACCACTTCCTTTGGCTTCAACCATTCCTCTGTCCTTGCCTCTTTCAAAGGTCAAGGTCACTTCCTTTTGATTCTGTCCAGGAGACACTCCTCACCGTAGTCCTCAAGAAGCATTCCCACGTGCGGTTTCTTCAGTGCTTTTCCTCTTCTGGTTTTCCTTCATTTGAGTCCTTTTCATCATTGTACTTGCCTCCTTCTTTACCTTCTCCAGTTATCCCAGTGCCTTTGTTCAGACCTCTCCTGAGTCTCATCTGTTACATCAGTAGCCTGCTAAAGATCTCTGGATGCTTGTCTTTCCACTTTTCAAATTGTCATCAAGTGAGCTTCTTCAGTGGAATCTCACTATCTAATCTCCTGATGAAGTACAAACTCCTTATGCAACTTCATAAAATCCTCTCAACGTTTGCCTTTCTTCACTTAGTCCAGTGCGGATTCTACCAAGGAAGATATACTTCTGCTCCTTCTCTGCTATGTTAAGGGTTGTTTTCAGAAACAACTTCCTAAAGGAAGATGGCCTTTCTGTCCCATTCATCTTACCTCCATATCAAATTTATTCCTCCATACTCATTCTTAAAAATCACTTTTGGCATACATTCACACTTATCTCTCTTGCTTGACAAAGAAGCCTCTTGTTGAACAACAATTTATGTAGTTTCTGAGTGACCACTTGTTCCTTTGAACTCCCCACAGAATGATGTTAACTTATACAAAGTGGCCTCTTGTAAATTATCTTCACTATATTCTGAATATTTAGCAAAAATTGATCCAGCTGTTTACTATTACATGTCAACAGACAAACATGCATAAAAGCATCTTAGTGTCTGTGTGTTGTTGTTGATTTTGATCTTACAAGAATTCCACAGATTTGGGGAATCGAAAATTTCATTCACTGGCCTGTTCTCTTTCCTCAACTTGAATAATTATTGAATTCTGTTCTATGCAAAATATCAATATAAGGACTTCATATGTATCCATCTGTTTGACAGTTACAACAGCCCCGTGTGGAAGGTCTAGTATTCTTCACAGATTGTAGATGAGGGAACTGAAGGAAATATATATTTACAGGCTGAAAAATTAGTATGTGACAACTGGAATTTAAGCTCAGATCATGTGTCCTGAAACTTCTTCATATTTCACCATCACTCCAAATAGATGTGATTAATACCTGCAAGCTGATTGCTTTAAAGGTATCAAAGAGATGTGAAAAGTTTTCCTGAAGTAGGAAGAAAATAACACTTCCCTGTCCCACAATGCACTATCTTTTGTCTAGCATTTGTTAGACTGTGCTGAAAATTCCTCAAAGGCACGAACCTTGTATTTTGTCTTTATTTTATCCATAGCAGTTAGTACAGACCTTGTATTTACTGTTTATTGCCAAATAAATTTAGATTTCAGGGTTAGGGATGAATAATGATCAGGTAATTGCTTTAACTGATAGCTTTAGTGAACAAATCCATCCTGGTTTAGCAGGTGAATTGAAGGTACTTTTACCTGTGTTGTTCATTGCTTTTCTTTCACTTCTTTATTCCCCAGGAGTGCTTTATGAATACCCCCTCTATCTTGTCTATAGGCAAAGTTCATGATTATTTTGCCTTATCCAGATTGTCTGTGGGGGAAAAAAGGATGTGACCAAAGGACAATAACAATAATACAAATGTGCACACAATCTTGAGTTTGCCTAGAAAACTTGTCTTTGGGTAAAGGAAAGAGCTGGAACTCCTGGCAAGGCTTTTTTTTTTTCTAATTTATTCAACTACAGAAGTAATATGAAGACAAATTTTCATGAAGAAGAAAGGCAAAAGGGACAAAGAAATAGTACAAGACCCAGAAATAAAGTGAAATGACTCCAATTTGTACTTACTGGTAGAAACAAACACACACACACACACACACTGTTTCTAACTTTTTATATACTATACCATTTGTTATAGACTCTTTTGAGTCCCTTCATGCTTATATATTGAAAGCTTAACTCCAAAGTATTTGGTATCTCCAGGTGGTCCTATGAGAAGTGACTCAATGATAAGGGTCATGAATGGGATCAGTGTCCAGACAGTCCATAGTGCTCCTTTGCCCTTTCTGGCATGTAAGGAGACAGGACAGAAGAAAGCCTGGCACTGTATGAGCCAGTACCTTGATGCAGGACATCCTAGGTTCCCAAATACTGAAGAAATAAAGTGTTGCTTGCTTAAGCCACCCACCCAGTCTATGGTATTTTTGTTATAGTGGGATCAAAAGACTAAAGTTTATGATAGAAAAATTAATAGTTTAATTAATATAATATTAATATTTTAAAATTCATAACAAATAGAAGTTGGATATGGGGGGAATCATCATAGTTGCTTTCCAAAGTAGTTTTGAGATTCATTTTCAAAAAACAGGATATATCAAAGATATTATTATCATATTTGTACTTATGATCTAGGTGCTTTTATTTGTGTCCTCAGGATGCTACAGTATTGTCTCAATGTGAGAAACAGCAAGTCCAAAGAGAGATGTATGGCTTGTGTGAGGTATTGAGAAACCTGAAACTCCCATCTGGGAGACTCGGAGTCTTGAGCCACCTAGATTCTGCTCAATGTTCATTCTGCTGTATACTGCTGTACTCCTAAGAGCCAACTTTTGCACTTCAGATAGCTTGTTCTTCTATATCAAATTATTTGACTCAGAAAACTTCTTAAGTTCAAGAAAAACAAAAATGATATTGTACAACAGACCCCCATTTTCCAATCTTCTATTTTCCTCTTCTTTTCATAATTCCTAGCTATGAATGTATCAGCAGCTATTAAATGGATACATCATCTCCCTCTGATACTTAGTACATACTATATCTTTTAAGGGACTGCATTTGGGAAAACTGAGGCTTGTGTTTGGGGCATATCAGAAGTTGGGAGAATTACTTCAGATCACATAACAAGGAAGCAGTGAAACTAAGATATTACTCCCTAATTTTAGCTCGTTTGCTTCATCTAACCTATGAACCTCCAATCAACAACTTTTCTATATTGCTATAGAGATGAATAGATTTTCAGTACTCTTTGAGAACTTATACTGTTTTTTTTGTAGCACAAATAATTTGACATGTCAATCAATAACTGATATAACACCAGCTACAGGCTTTATGAAATATTCCCCTTGGAATGTTTTTTGCTTGTTTTTCTTTTCGATTTCTCTGCTTATTTTTTCATATTACTTAGTTCTTTCTTCTATATTTCTCCTAACGCTACTGTCACCAAATTCTTTTTAATATCTCTACTTGTATTCTACATTGTATTCTTACTATTTTCTCCCTTACCCCTCATTTTAGTGTGTGTGTTTGTGTGTGTGTGTGCAAGTGTGTGTGTGTGTGTGTGTGTGTGTGTGTGTGTGTGTGTGTGTGTGTGCTGGTCCTCAGGGCCTGGACACTGCTCCTGAGCTTTCTTGCTCAAGATTAGCACTCTATCACTTGAGTCACAGTCCAACGTCTGGCTTTTGGTGGCTAATTAGAGTAAGAGTCTCATGAACTTTCCTGCATGGGCTACTTTTGAATGGTGATCCCTAGATCTCAGACCTCCTGAGTAGCTAGGATTACAGGCATCAGCCACTGGTGCTGGGTTCCTCATTTTACTTTCTAATCTCCATTTTCTCCATTAAACGTCATTTACAGCCAAAATATATTTTTAGTGTTTAATAATTATATAGAATAATTTAATAAAAGTGTGAAGATATTTTGATCCCCAATCACAAGTTTGAAAGTTTATAAATATATCACATACTAATGCATAAAAAGGTGTCTATCATATATGTAGTTTAGTGCTACAAAACATTCTACTACATCATGTGCATCAAAACCAGTCTTTCTAGGAATGAATACCAGTCTGCTCAGGAATGAGTAGCACTCTGTTTTAATAGAATTTGGAAATTCTATCAAAATCCAAGGTTTCATTACTATAGCAACAGGAACAATGTAAAGACTAAATGTCAGACACATTCAATGTTGCCATAGTAACAATCAGTTGCTTTACTAAACATGTTTTTCTATTCCATTCTGGTCAGTTTTTCAAAAATGCTCCTCTATGTGAATGCTCAGAAAGGGAAGAAAAAGTTTAACATTGTTTAAGAAAGAAGCCCTTTCTTGAAGGGCTTCTTTCTTAAATAATGTTAAACTTTGTTTCACTGCCCATTATGAAGAAGAAGGGGGAGGGGGAGGGGGAGGGGGAGGGGGAGGAGGAGGAGGAGGAGGAGGAGGAATCACTAAGAGGAAAATGGAAATTCTGAATTCTGTTCCAGCAAATATTCTTTCTGTTTTCCATCAAGGAAATTGAAGGGTGGAGTTTATGACATGTCTGTGTTGCCATTTCATGACATTTTGAACCATTTTCTCCAAGCTCCTGTAAAATAGGGAATTCTGCTGTATCAGAATAGAAAATCATTTTTTAAGCAATAGCATTTTAGAGTGCAAGCTCGTCAGACAGCTGGGATGGCCGGAGACAAAAATCGATAAAGCAGGCAATCGTTTACTCTGTGCCTTCAGATCATCTCCTCTTCCTTATCCTGCCTGTCCTTGCTGATGAAACAT